TGTTTGGGTCCAAGTGTACTGCTGAGATCTAAAGTGCTCACATTCAACATTTGGCAAACATTTTCATGTTAGTCTAATTTTTGCCTATTCATTTAGTTATTCTTTTAACTCATTAATGCCTTTAGCATATATTCACTGGGCACCTACTACCAGTCAATTCTTGCGCCCTCTCCTCTGCCCCCTCTCCTCCAGCTGCGGAATGAAGCCTGGGGGAGGTCCCCACGCAACTCCCTCAGAGGAACCGGTCGAGTCTAGCGTGGCAGGAGGGCTGCCGGGAGAGCGCTGCCTTCTGGTAGCTGGGGGTTTGGAAGTTGTTTTCTGCAGTGCTGCCTCCTCAGGCTGAGATACCTGAACAGAGAAGATCCCTCTAGCATTTGAGCAGCACTGAGTCTCGACAGCTTTCCACAGCTACCTTTGTCCCACTCCTCACTCTTGGGGAGGTGTGCCCCCCATTACTTGAAGGCCCCGTCCAGCAAGCTGGAACCTACTTTCTGTGTAGTGGGACTGTGTCTCCCAGGGCCAAGCTCCGCGGCTGGTCTACTGTGCTTTGCTGTGCTAGAGTTCCTGGAAGTCTGCTCTGCTACTGATACCCTGTCATCTCCGTACTATTCTTGCAGTGCGGTTCCCTTCCTGCCCTCACCGTGCATCTCACTACCTGTCTCCAGTGGGGTTGGAGTGGCCACATTACTACTAACACTTGTTTTGGGGTTGTCTAACTGCTCTGGGCCCCTTGTATATATATCTCCCCCCCCCACCCCCGCTGCCCTTCATCCCGTACACTTGGGCTGTTTGTCAGAGACGCTCCTGGGCAGGCACTGGGCTGAGTGTCCGAGAGACAGAGACACCCAACTCGTGCACAGTTCATGAAAAGAGCATCTCATGTGTGATAGGGCCGTGGTGCTTCATGCTGCGGGACTTGCCAGAGTGGAGCATCTGCCTTTGCCATGCACAATCAGGGACAGCTTTACAAGGAGGTGATATTTGAGCAGTCTTGAAGGATTTAGCTATGTAGGCAGTGGGAGAATGGGAATTCCAGTCAAGGAGAATAATAGCATGCATACAAGCCTGAAATTGCATAGTGTTCTTTAGAGAAATATGGTGTGAATGGAACAAAGGGAATACGTTATTTGGGGTGGAGGGTTCATGGGTAGCCAAGGGAGGGAATGAGGCCAGAAAGGTAAACAGGGGACTCCTGCTCGGGGCCTTGTAAGCCTCACTGTGTGCGTTATACTACCCTCCAAGTGCTGGGAGCCTGCGAAGGCTTCTGTATAGGGACATGTCACGGTCAGGTTCATCTGTGAGAAAGCTGAGACACATGGGTGGGAGGTCATGGGTTATTGTCTCACTTGTCCTCTAGCAGTTCCGTGAGGCAGACGGGACAGACACTCTCCTGTGCTTTTTTACACCTGAGAACACTGAGGCCCGAGGGGATAAATACCTGGCTAGAGGTCTCAGAGCCAGGAAGCAGAGGACCGAGGATTCACCTGGCTTCCTGGCTCTGAATCTCTCTCTCCTGGGCACACTGCCATTGTTAACAGAGTCTTCTAGAAAGCTGTCTGCAGCTGGGTGGTAGGCAGATGCTGACAGGAGTAATACAAAGCAAATGGTCATTGATACAATCTTGTTGAAGGAGTGTAGCACTGGGATTTTGTGGCCTGTGGTGTTCAATCTCCTGACCTCAGTGCCAATGCACAGACAGCAAGAAGCAGGGGAGCTTTGAGCTTCAAGTGCTACTTTGCCTTGACAAAGTCCATTCATCACTATCTCGCTCATTAAGTCAGAGCAGCACCTGCTGCCTGATACGGGCATTTGTCAGTGGCTTGTTTCTGGAAGCCTCCGGTCCTCTCGGTTGGTCAGTTCTGCAGTCTGCAGCCCCAGGTTTCACCCTGGCAGCCGGAGGCAGGCCCTTTCTCTGTCTGCATTTTGTGAAATGAAATGAGTTTATTTTTTAAAAACAAAGTAACGTGATCTAGCAGTACGGAACAGGAGCTTGGAGATCAGGCAGACCCGGGTTTTAGTTCTGCTACTGCCACTTCAGCTGGCTAGGAAAGCTATTTCGTATGGATGTGCTCAGCTTCTTATCTCTAAAATGAGCAAAGTCACACCTACCTGAAAAAGATCACTGTGATGATTAAGATGTGATAATGTTTAGGAAGTGCCTTGGCTTGATGCCTGCCACATGAGTCCTCATTGTACGGGGGCTATAATTCCTGCTTTTATCGCTGCCATCATCACCACTACTGCCACCACCACCATTAAAGAATATTCAGAAAAGAGGGACTATAAGCTGCCCTTATAATTTACTCACGTGTCCTTCAAATCTTTTCCCTCCCCTGCTTTAGAACATACCAGAGTTTATAGCAGGCAGGGTGTTTTTTTCCCTCGGTGGTAGAACCTGCATTATATTTATTTTTCTTATTTTTAATAGATTATTTTCCAATTATAAGAATACATAGCGTTGAAAAAGCGAAAGGAGTTGTGGTATCTGTCTAACCCTAGTCCGGAGGCAGTCGCCGTTGCCACGTTGAGGTGCCCTCCAGTCTTTCACTCGCATTTTACCGTAGAGTTGGGATCAGATTGCTGTAAGTATTCCAGTTTTTAGGAGATTTTTCAGTTCACAGGATATCATGAGAATTTTCCTTTATTGTAAATATCATTTTCCAGGTCTATATAATAGTTCGGCAGGTGACTTGATCATAATTTTCATAAGCATTCCCCTAAAGTTAGATATCTAAGTTCCAGTTTTTCAACCTAAACATCTTCCTATGACAACCCAGGCAGCCAGCCTCAGTATACCAGGAGACATAGAATGAACTTGTGCTCTGTGTGTGGTCCTGGGTAAGTCACTGTGGGAACCTCTCAAATAAATGAAGCACAGAGCCTGTCTCCAAGGATCTCAGAGACCGGACAGCCTGGGAATTTTCACTGGGATAAAAAATACAGGTGTGTCTTTGCCAGACGCTGTCAGGGAGGCCACCTAAGCATGGGTAGCCCTCTTCCCTGTAGAAGCTGGGATCTGGGAAGCATAGATTTTATAAGGAAAAGAGCCTCAGACACCTTGCTGCCCTTTCTCACCTACCAATGTGTTCTTTGGCCTTTGGTGCTCAGTGCCTTCGGCCCTGTTACTGTCAGGGGCCTACACTGGTTACCTTTGAGTATCACTTCCGAGTGGTTTTCACTGGCTATAACATCAGGAAAGGAACTTGCAAGAGAATCAGAGTGGTTCTAGTATTAGTGTTGTTGTTTTTAATCCTCATCCAAGGACACGCTTATTGATTTTAGAGAGATGGAGGGAGAAACAGAGGGAGGGAAACATCAGTGTGAGAGAGAAACACTAATTGGTTGCCTTGCGTACGCGCCCAGACTGGGGACTGAGCCCACAGCCTAGGCAGGTGCCCTGACCAAGAATCAAGTCCTCGACCTTCCAGTTTGTGGGATGACACCCAGCCAACTGAACCAGACTGGCCAGGGCTAGTCTTAGCTACGTACTTGTTCTGGCACGCAAGGCAAGTTCTGTCCTCTTCCCAGGCCTTGGTTTTCTCTTCATAGTGTAGAAAGATTGGACTGGAAGATGCTCAAGGCCCTTCCTGCATTAACATTCCTGGAGCACCTGAAGACTTTCTCTCGCCAGGAGCTGAAGGGAGCATCCTGATAAAGGGCACAGGATGCTTCTCCGGAGTCTTGAGTTCCTTTTAATTAGTAGTTGGAGAACGGTTTCTGCTTTTACATTCCCAGTCACTTCCCCCTGGTAGCGGGAGGGATGTGCAGAGACTGAAAGGCACAAGGCGTCTGTCACTGGGTGGACACTGGATTCAGAACCCGAAATGGCTGTGCTTTGTAAATTAGGTATTTGTTCTTTTATGTATTTTGTTCTTTCATTCCTTTTCTCTTTTTTTAAAGAACATTTTCTTTTTTAAAAAAAGTTTTATTTATTTATCTTTAGAGGGGGAGGGAAGGAGAGAAGGAGAGAATATCAGTGTATGGTTGCCTCTTATAGGTCCCCTGCTGGGAACTAGCCTGCAACTCAGGCATGTGACCCGACTGGGAATCGAACCATGATTCTCTGGTTTGCAGGCCCGTGCTCAATCCACTGACTGAGCTACATCAGCCAGGGCTTTATTCCTTTTCTTACTTAGCAGATGTTAGCCGAGTCCCTGGCCTTGTACAGTTCAACTGTGCAATACAGAGGTGGAGACTTAGTCCTGTTCTCAAGACACATGCAGTCTAGTGAGGAAACAGGAAAAAATGTAAAAGGGCACAAGATAATCGCCACAGTGGGGGTGGATGTAAATTGTGCAGTGGAAGGAGAGGTTGAGGCTGCCCGGAAGCCACTGCAGAGGAGTCTCAGTGGACGCTCTGAGATTTTAAAGGACAAGTGGGAGATTCCTAGGTAGGCATTGAGGAGAGATCATTCCGAGCAGAGGAACAGCACGTGCAAAGGCCCAGAGGTGTGAGCGAACGTGTTGCGTTTGGGGAACTACAGGAGTTCGTGTGACTGGAAAGTAAAAGGGAGAGTGAACAAATGACAGAAGTCAAACATTTGTCTTTGGACGAGTCTGTTTCCACCACATTTTCTGCTCATTTTTTCAGTCCCCATGAGGATGATGGTCTTCTTAGTTCAGCTTTCAAAAAGTGTCATTTGTATTGCCTTCTAGCTCTATTTTTATAGTAACACGTGCTCATTATAGAAAGCCTGAAAATTGCTAAAAACTAGAAAGGAGAAAGGATTTTTGAAAAAAATCACTCATGGTCTCACTGCCTAAAAACAAACACATTAACATCTTGGTGTATTTCATTCAATTTTTATATCATTTTTTAAAATGTAGTTGTGAGTATGTTGTAATTACAGTCAGTTTTTGTATATGGTGTCCCTTTCTACTTACTTCCTAAATTTGCCAAAAATAAATGTTAGTATTATTAAAAAATAGCTGTGATCATAAAATATGAAAGCTGAAATATCTGTACATTTTTCTTTAATATAACTTACTTTCTTTTTATAGGTCTCTTGTGGCTCAGAACATAATCTGGCCGTGGTTGGTGAGTAGCTTGTATACTAGTAACTGTTTATTCTGAAACTCATGCAGCAAAATTGGAGAAGACTCTTGCTTAACCGGAGACCAGGGTGTCTTTGTGTGTGTGTGTGTGTGTGTGTGTGTGTGTGTGTGTGTGTGTGAGAGAGAGAGAGAGAGAGAGAGAGAGAGAGAGAAGAGGTTCTGGGAAATGGAAGTCTTTGGCTGACCAAAGCTTTATTAGAACCTTCTTTTCTAAAAATTGCAGTTCGCATCACTGGGCATCTTTTTAAGGTGTCTGAGCTGGTCTCCCTACCTTAAGAAGTGACATTTGAGGATATTAAAGATCTTACCGGTTGGGGGCAGCATGTGTGGAAAGCCAGACATAAAAGGGGAAGAGGACTGAGCTGCTACTCCTTCCTTGAATAAGTCCCCTCCATCAAGCTCGTTCCTCTTGGTTGACTCTTTCTTTGGAAAGAGAGGGCTCTGTTCACTCACTGCTTTGTATGTTGTGGTGTTTGGGAACTCTCAGTTGAAGCCTCTGATTAATTAAGGTTTCCTCTTAGTTGACTCTGGATAACCAAAGGTTCACTGTTTTTTATAACCAGGCCTATGAGTTACTCCTGCAAGAAGCTTATTATTACTTCCACAGGTAGACTCTGTCTATTTCACAGTACATTAGAAAGACAACAATGTAGGGCCCGACTGCCTAAGTTCAATACAGGTTGCCACTTACGAGCCATGGGAACTTGGACAAGGTACTTAACCCCTCGGTGCCTCATTGTCTTCATGTTTAAATGAGGAGCGCGATGGAGCCTTTCTCAGAGTGCCGCCGAGGGCGTTGAGTTCACACAGGTAAAGCGTGTGGAACAGTACTTAGTTCCTAGTAAGGGTTTTAGAAGTGCTGGTTGTTATTACATGACATCTGTTCGTGTAATTGCCTTCCTGTGGGCTCCTGTTCCCCCATCTATAAATGGAGGGGTTCAAACAGGAAAGCGAGCCGCCCTGCAGCTCTGATACTTGAGGACTCCATGGCAGCGCCCTCGTTGCCTGGCCTGTGCCCGTGTGTCTGTTCCTGTCTGCTTCTCTCCCAGCCTCTGACCCTGAGCTTCTGAGAGGCCAGGCCCCTGTGTTTTCCTTTTGCTTCTTGCCTGTTTGTGGCACCCAGAGCAGTGCCTGGCACTCAGCAGAGACTCAAGCACTCTTTTCTGAGTCGAGCGAGACTGGCTTGGCTGCCTGGGGTGGCAGCAGTTTGAAGCACTCCTTTGCTGGCCCGAGCATGATGTGCAAGGAGGCAGAACCAAGGGTGGCAGAGGGGTGGGCTGTTGGCAAGCCTTGGGGGTGCAGAACAAAAGGAGCCAGGGTCAGGGAAGGAGTGAGAAAATAGATCAGCAAGCCTGCATACTTTGCAGCAGTCCCGGAACTGCTCCAGCCAGGGCGTAATGAAGACAAAGTCATCACAGAGTCAGAGGTGGTGCCTGGGATGTTGCTGCTGCTGCCGTCCCTGGTCTGGGAGAGGCTGGCCTCCTCTGGGACCACACAAGCAAGAAGATTGCAGGGAATCTAGACATGGGAGAGGACAAGATCCAGATGAAGGAGGGGGCCAGAGGCAGCCCGGGGCTGCAGAAAGTGCACAGACTCTGCAGGCACACGGCCTTGGTTCAAACCAGCTCTGTCTCGGCGTGAGCTTTCATGTTCCCCTCATCCGTGTAATGGGGAGAATTCCACCTTGCAGGATTGTCGTTGTGTGTGAAATACCTGGTAAAAAATACATACATATATACATACATATTTATAACTGTTTCTCATTTCTCTTCGTCAGGGTGAGACGGGGGCATGGGGGGAAGACTCGCATGTTAGGTGACTGTTCTAGTGAAGTAATTCTTCATTGGAAGAGAGAAACGATAATGTTCTGGAAAGATGTGTCCTGTGTTACCCAAGTGAGGAGAACATCAGAGACAGCAGAGGTCAGGGGTGCTGGTGAACTCCCTGAGGGCAGACCTGTCATCTTCCATTTTGTCCCCACTGCCTGGGGTATGGCTCACAGTCCCCTGAATGAACGGTTCCAGATTCCGGAAAGGGGGACCAGTCCCAGGGCTCTGAACTTGTCTGTGTGCCTACACGTGAGCTGGGAGCAGAGGCTCCCACCACAGGAGAGGGGGAGGGGGCGGTCGGGGGCTGTCCTGCAGAGTGCAAGCTGTGCACTGGGAAGTGACGAGAAGTGCCTGTTAGTCCTGGCAGGGGGCCAAGCTGGAGGAGGAGCTTAAAGCCTGGTTCTCACAGCTTCTGCCATTACCTGCTCGAGATGGATGTCCCCACCTTCAGTCTCATTCCCCAAGACCCAGCCCCACATTGCCTGGTGCTGGGTCCCACACTTTATAGGCTCAAAGTAGTCACAGAATAGACTAGAACAGAATGTGAAGAAGGCAACACTTGCTTAATGTCTGATGAAAGGGTGATAGTCAAAATTGGAAGGGGAGGTGGAGTAGAGACGGGTGAAGGACATAATTGAGGACCTGCTTTGTCTTAGATTGGACAGAACTCCACAAAGTATATTTATTGCATCTGCTTCATAGAGGAGAGCGCTGAGACTCGGAGAGTAGACAGGTTAACCAGCTTGCCCAGGGATAAGTAGGGTGGATGTCGAGTTGTCTGCCTGACTTCCCAGAGTTTGCACTCTGTCAGATCCTCAGGCCAGAGGCACCGTGGGGGGTGCTGAAGGAGTGCATGGGCACTGGGTTCGAACTCTGCCTCCTCCACTGGAGAGCTGTGTAACCTGTGTAAGTGGCTTGACCTCTGTGCTGATTGCTTCATCTGTAATATATTATTGACCTCATAGAGTTGTAAAGTACTAACTGCCTGGCACAAAAGTAAAGGCTCAGTAAATGTTATCTGATTTTTTAATTATTTATTAAGACTTCAAGGAAGGCGTTAATTTTGAGATGACTGTGAGAAGGTCTGAGACCCAGGGTAGGAGTCTCAGAAGATAGGGAGGAGTGTCTCCTTCCACCCCCACCCCCGAGATGGGAGGGTCCAGGGCAGCTGTGCAGCACAGCTGCAGAACGGATTTTCACACTGGCGCCTGGTGACCCCAGCCCGGGGCCTGGAAATCCCAATGGCCCTGGAAACACTGCGAGCTCTCATGTGTCCCCGGTCAGGGTTCTGCTACCACTGCCCCAGACGGGACACAGGACCTGCGTGTCCAGCCTGGAGGCTGCTTCATTTGCTTCCAGGTTTCTTTTTTTTTACTCTTCTTTTGCAATTTGCTTTGGCTCTTAGTTTTCCAAAAAAGCATCTCTTGATATGCTCTGTGTTTGCCTCCAGACACCCCTGTGGCTAGAAAGGATGGTGAGTTATTGCTTTAGACAAAGGAATTGCTGGAGCTGGGCAGAAACAACCTCAAGTGACAAGCAAGAAGGAGAGAGCTGAGGCCACCAGCCATGGCTGGCCTGGCCGCTTTCCAGTTCTGTGCCTTGTACAGTCACTCTTCCTCACGGAGCCTGATTCGTCATCGGTAAAATCACCATCACAGTCCCCACCCCTACAAGTGGTTTTTCCAAATGGCACAGGTATGTCTGGTGCCTGCTCAGCACCTGCCACATAAAAGGTGCCCAGCAGGTGCTCACTCACTTGGCAGGTTCACTAGTTGGCTTCCTTTCTTTCTGCCTTTCCACTCAGGATTTCCCTTCACATCTGACAAAGCTGGCTGCCTGGCTCCCATTTGTGGGCACAGACTGAGGTCAGCAGAGGTGAAAGGAGGGCAAGTGGCCACCACTTGCTCAGAAGATCCCTGCCTGGCAGAGGCTGGCTCCCCAGGCCTGGCCCTGTCTTCGGGGCCCTCACCTCTGTGTATGGCTGAATCGACTCCAGCTGTTTTACTCCCCCCAGGAGCGGCTTATTTTGGCTTGAATGGGCAATTTGTTTGCCTTCTCTCCTGATGTGCAGTTGTTCAGCCTTCCCTTCCTGCAGAGAAAAAAGAGCTGACTGCATTTCCTCTCTCCCCGCTCTGCACAGACCCTTGGAAAGGATTTTACTGATGGCTTTTTCCTGGAGTGCTTGGGCTCAGCAGACAGGCATGGTTAAAAGGTAGATGTGTGGTAGGAAAGTATGGGGCCTCCTCCCTGCCTCCTCCAAGCAAAGCAGTTCTTTTATCAAGTTGGAGCAATAATCTGTGCAAGGGTTTGGGGTTATTTTTTTCATTTCACAGATGAGTTCCAGTCATTGTGCCTTTGTAATATGTGTGGCAGAATGTCTGATCTTGGCCTGGAACCCATGGTGGTTTCATGTATGAATTTAATAGACAGAACTCCTCTCCTTTTTCTGACATGGGTTGCTCCTCTGAGAGGCAGTCCCTGCAAACCCCGGGGCCTTGTAGAGAGCATAGACATAAGTGCAAACGTGTGGTTCTGTGCGTGGTGTGATGGGCAGAGTGTAGTATCCATTTAATCTTCACAGCAACTCGGTGAGTTGGCTGCATTATCAGCCCTATTTTCTAGGTGAGGGAAACTGAGCTTAGGCTGGGCAGTTTGCTCCACCCAGGTCATAGGGTGGTCAGGAGGCATCTGCCTGTTGGGGCTTTAACCCGAGCCCCTAACCTCAGAGGTGGTACCCAGTGCGCCTTCCTGCACAGCAGTGACAGTCTGGCTTGCTTCTAAGGCCACCAGATAACATCATTTCATCCACACATGTCAATGGTTAGTTTCTCTTCATGTTGGCCAGTTCTTCTGTGTATCCAGCCTAATCTATTTTGCTTCAGATTAAGCAATTCTCTGCATAGTAACCAGAAAAAAATCACAAAACTGATGGAACTGTTTTGGAAAACCACCTCTTTTAGGATTCTTCTCCCCCCTCCATTATCCTTTACTACTTTTTTAAAAAATGATTTACTTATATAGTTTTAAAAATAATACATGTACATGATTCAAAACTTTAAAAAAGCACAGAAAGATTTAGAACGTAAAACCTCCCTCCCTCCATATCCCGAACCTGCCCGGTGTCTCCAAACCCTCCTACCACATGCGGAGCTGA